TCTACATAGTATGTTCCAGGACAGCCAAAGCTATGCAGAGAGACCCAGTCTCAAAACAAAAAAACAAAACAAAACAAAACAACAACAACAACAAAAAAAACAGAACCAACCAAACAAACAAACAGAAAACAAAAGAAGAAAGATTTATTTTATGTGTTGGAATATTTTGCTTGCGTATATATATATATTTAATGTAACGTATTTTGTGTTCATGTATTCCTGGTCATGAGACCAGAAGAGGGCGCTGGATTCTCTGGACCTAGAGTTTTAGCTAGTTGTGAGCTCAATCTTGCAGATGCTGGGAAATGAATCCGAGGCTTCTGGGAAGGCAACATATATCCTTAACCTCTGAGCTATTTCTCCAGCTCCTCCTCCTCCCCCTTTTTTTTTCCCTGTAAATATTGGGCTGGGAAGATGACTTATGGTTAAGGGCACTGGCTACTCTTCCAGACAACCCAGATTCAATTCCCTGCACCCACAAGGTGGCTCACAACCGTGTGTAACTGCAGAGCCAGGGAATCCCACATCATCTTTTCGTTTCCGTAGGTACCAGGTGTTCACATGATACACAGGTATACATGCACACCAAGTACACATATGGAAAACCAATACAGTTTGAAAGAAGTTACTGCTTTTGTCTGCACTATGGTGTGTAGGGCACGCACCATGATGCAAGTGTGGAGGGCAGAGGACAGTTTAATGGGATTGGTTCTTTCCTTCTGGGCCACCAGGCTTCTGTGAAAAGGGCGCTGCCACCTTTAGAACTGGAGTTACAGAGTGCTGTGAGCTGCCACGTGGGCGCTGGGAATTGAACCCAGGTCCTCTAGAAGAACAGCCAGTGCTCTTACCCACTGAGTTATCTTCAGCTTTAAGTTTTTTCTATCTTAAACAAAACTATTATGACTCTCATTATTACGTGTGTGCATTTGAGTGCATGGAGGCTAAGGAGGGTGGATGACAGTCTTTGCAGCTTGAACTACAGACAGGGTGCTGGGATCCAAACTTGGGTGCTCATGACAGAACAGCCATCACTTGTACGCACCATTCCGTGTCTCCAGCCTGCTAATGTTGGCTGTCTTGAGATGGGGTCTCACTATGCTGCTTGCCCTGACTACAAAAGTCCTGCGACAGCAGTTCTGCCTCAGCTGCCCAAATACCAGACTGTAATATACTCCAGTGTGGGCAGGTCATATTCTTTGTAAACTTGAAGGTAGCCTTTGTCCGTCCGCCCGTCCGTCCGGTCCCCACCTCCCCTCCTTCCCCCCTTTCCTCCCTCCCTCCCTCTCTTTCTTTTGAGACAAGATCTCACTGTGTAGCATAGGCTAGTCCGAAAGTTATTGTATAACTAAGCTGGCTTCAAGCGTGAAGTCCTCCTGCCTCAGTTTCTTAGAACGAGAGGATTATAGATGTGCTTCACTTGTCCAGCTAGTCTTCAGCGTTTTAATGGTTATGTGACATTTCATTGTTTGTAAATGACAGGTGTCGCTCATGTAAGAACTCCGTGTACGTTTTAAAGTATTTGGGTGTGCATGTGTGTGAGTGTGTGCCCTGGCTCACGGGTGAGGTGGAGGGCAGCTTCTGAGAATTGGTTCTGCCCTCCACCTCAGGCTTTTCTTTCTGAGCCATCGCATTGGCCCATATTTGAAAATCAGGTTATCTGCAATTTTTTGTTTGTTCTGCTGCACGTTGTACCCTTGGAGAAACTTACCCTTGCCACTTCAGTGCACACTAGTCTGCTCTGTCATCTTCTCTCTCTCTTTGGTAACTCTTCAGTTGAGTGATTAGATAGTGCTGGCTCTGAGACAGTGAATTGCTAGCTTCTATGCATTCAAGGGTTACAGAGACGTTTATTTGGAGAGATAATTACAATACTTGAACTAAGCATTCTGACAGATTTGCATATCACAGCAGGAGACCAGAAAAAGAAAGATTAGAGCATAAAAGCATTTCTTACTCAGGTAAATCTTAATGTGCCAGGTACCACATTAGCATGTGGGCGTTTAGTCTACAACATTTCTGGGTGGTAGGCAAACATTCTCTCATTCACTAGACAGGAAACTGAAATTAGGAAGGAAAAATGCCAATAATCATTCAAGTAGTAGCTGGGATTGTTCCAGAAGTAAACCAGTGCAGGCTTATGTGACTACCCAGCCCTGTCCAGGACTCCATCCAGCTACACTAAAGGAAGGATTACAGGATATTGGAGTAGTGACTCTTACAGCAAGTAGGCCTCTGCTAGGTGGAGGGCTGAAGTCACTGAGAACACGCACACGTTCAGCACATATGGAGGAGAGATGAAGCCTCAGCTAAACTGCAGTGACAGTTTGTTGTTGATGATGATTTGTGTTGTTATACAATGTAAACTTCTTTCTTCTGGCATATAATGAATTTACATTAATTTTTCAATATTTAATCTTATCTATGTGTATTTATGTGTATGCATAAGTTTATCTGCGGTGTGTGTGTATGATATGTGTGTGTGTATGATGTATATGTGTGTGATATGTGTGTGATGTGCGTGTGCATGTATGATATATGTGTGTGATGTGTGTGTATGGTGTGTATGTGTGTGTGATATGTGCATGTGCATATGATATGTGTGTGGTGTGTATGTATGTGTGTATGTGATATGTGTGTATGGTGTGTGTGTGTATATGTGATATGTGTGTGTATGATGTGCGTGTGCATGTATATGTGTGTGATATGTGTGTGATGTGCGTGTGCATATGATATGTGTGTGTGTATGATGTGCGTGTGCATGTATATGTGTGTGATATGTGTGTGATGTGCATGTGCATATGATATGTGTGTGTGTGGTGTATATGTATATGTGTATGTGATGTGTGTGTGTGTGTGTGTGAAGTGCCCAAGGAGGGCCCTGGAACTAGCATTACAAACCATTGTGAGCTGCTCCATGTAGTTGCTGGGGACCCAGCCCAGGTCTTCTGCAACAGCAGCCCCTCTCTGCCCCTGCCCTCTTTGCCTCTGCCCTCTGCCCTGCCCTCTGCCCCTGCCCTCTGCCCTCTGCCATCAATCCTCTGGGATTAAAGGTGTGTGCCACCATGCCCGGCCTGAATTTGTTTGCACCTTTTAAGAAAGGAAAATTATGTCAACCTTTTTAGGATACACATTTGTTGTTACACAAGGTTATCGTGGGCTTCAGAATTGTTTTGGAAGCACAGTTTTGAATACAGGGACTGGTTGGCTGAGTCGGGAGCTGAGTGTGCGGTGAGGTGACTACAAGTTTGTTCCCAGAGGAGAGGCGCCTGCCCACCCCTGCTTTCAACCATGCTGTTGCCAGTGCCAGCTTCTCCCTCCGTGTGTGCGGCCTCCGGCGTGAGGGAAGATGGGAGAGCACACACTGGAATACATCAGCACTCCGGGAAGGCCTCTCTGACCGTAATGTACACGAGCTCTACAAATCTATATGTAACAAACATCGGCACACGGATGAGCATCGCACAGTTCTTAGATGACTCATCCTGGGATTATCATGAGTGCCAACCATACTGTATTGCACCGAACAAGCATTTTTTAAGGACAGACCCAGTGTCCCCAGCCTGTCTTCATGGACACGCTTCTAACTTTACTTGTATCCATGGAGAGCGCGTGCGCACTGACTGGAGGAGTAGCTGGTGTTAAGTACCATTCTCCACTTCCTTAGACGGCAATAAGTGGCTGTGCTGAACAGTGGCCTCAGTGATCGGCCCTTCACAGAGCTGAGGTGAGGGTTGAGTTCTCAGTGATCGGCCCTTCACAGAGCTGAGGTGAGGGTTGAGTCCCTGTGATCGGCCCTTCACAGAGCTGAGGTGAGGTTGAGGCCCTGTGATCGGCCCTTCACAGAGCTGAGGTGAGGTTGAGGCCCTGTGCAGCCCGGTGCTGGGCGGTGCTGGGCTGGTGCTGTCCTCTGCTCTTGCTGCTGTAGCTCAGGGCTGCCCTTGCTCCTCCCCTGCTGGGCCTCCCCTTGCCTGCCCTTCACGGCTGTCCTTACCTCTGCTTGGATGCTCTTTGCTGACTACCTCAGCCTCGGAGTTCCTGCTGGGCCTTTTACACCATTTTAATAACCGTGTTTCTGTTGACCGGAATATCTCTGCTTTTCATTCCTTCTTGGATGTGTGTGCTGTAATGATAGTTAACTGGGATTACTATCGCAGGAGAGAGGCGGAGCAGTTTTGTTAGTCTCCCTTGAAAAAAGCCCATGTTGGTATTTGTTTCAAACAAGCCTTCAAATGTACACTCTGTGTTTAGACATACCGCCTACATGTTGAACCTGTTCTGCACAAATAGTTTTCTCTACCTGGCCTGGCCCGATGCTGCATATATGAGCGAGCAGACACTCCAGTGCTTGAACTGTATAAAACATGTTTAGAAACTGCCAGCCAGGTATCGTGGTGTGCGCCTGTGGGCCGGCCTGTTAAAGTTTAATGCTGGGCCATGCTACAGTAGTTTTGGAGCACTGCCAAGACCAGTAAAGCCACTTTTGTTTGTCTCGGGGAACAAGAGCTTGTTCCTTTCTAGTTTTATTATCAAATATACTTAAAAGGGTTTTTTCCCTAACTTTATTGTAATGTGAAACAGATTTTACTTCTTTATCTTTGAAATATTATGATGCTGTTATTAAATTCACTTATATTAGTTTGTCTTTTTCCTTAAACATATTCAGGATATTACCCTATTAAATTGAATAGGATTAATTATAGAATGTGAAATAGAAATCTTGCCTGCATTCTCTGCTCTTTTCCTATGGAATGATTTGATCTTTTCTCTGGTGGCTTCTTTTCCAAGTGTGCCTAAGATGAGGGGCCAGTGTAAACAAGACGATGAGTTTGAACGCGCATTTGCTTTGTAGTCCCATTAACCCTTCCACTGGTATTGAAGATTTTCGATCTTTCTCCAGAGAGGGCAGAGTTTAGTTAAGATTTGCACCCCATACTCTCTCCTCCCTAAAGAAGTGAATTGAATGTAATTATGTGTGTCTTTTTTTTTCCCTTCCCCAACAGCTTCCCTGCCTATGGCTGTTCTAAATTTGGGCCAAATATATCCATTTCAGAGAGGCTTTTTCTGTACTGACAACAGCATCAAGTATCCATACCATGACAGTACCGTCAGAACCATTTTGCTGGCCATAGTGGGGCTTGGCTTACCCATTTCCTCTGTAAGTAAATTCCTGAGTAGGTAGTGGTGGCTTGTTGGATGGTAATGGCATGGGGCTGGGGGTAAATTCAAGCCCAGCTTTTACTAGTGTTACTGTGGAAAATGGCTCCACTCTCTTCCTGGAGAATGGGGACTTTCCAGTCAAAGTTGTCTGCTACTTAAAACAGCCTGAAGTCATTGTGCGCAACTCCTCTGGGGATACCAATGAAGAGGTAAAGTTCCACCACCGCTCAGCTCCAGTGAACGCTTTCATGGCTGAGCCTAAACCAAGATACACTGTTGCCTGAGAATTGAGGTCACAAAAATATGTTACTTTCTAAATTTGAAAAGACAACGATTGTAAGTAAAGTCTAAATACCCTAAGGCCATCACTATTTTAAAATTGTGATATTTGAGATTACTGACTTGTAGTGTTGGGTTTTGAATTTTAGATCACTAGAAACTTCCATCCAGTGTTAGCATTCACAAACAATTAAGAGTGCCACTTGGAATGTTGTGCCTGTTTGCTTTATACTTGGTTTGGATCCCTCAGCCTTGCTGTCTGTCTGTCTGTCTGAAAGAGGCCTCATAGTCCATGCTGGTCTGAGACTCCTAGTCCTCGTGCTTCTATTTCTAAGTCCTGGGATTTCAGGCACATACAGTCTTATGTGACTTGGAAACAGAAGAAAAGGAGCAGAGCAGAGACTGGCCCTCGTGTATGCCTTAGAGTGCAGGGGTCCACTGCGTACCCCCGTGTCTGGGGCCTCGTCAGCTCAGCTCCTACAGCTCCTAGCTGTGTCTAAACTCTTAGAGCCCTAGTCATCCCAGAAGCCTTGTCCTGTCCTCCAGCAGGGCTGGATGGCCGACAGGGCTTCTCTGTAACAGTCCTGACACTCGCTCTGTAGAGCAGGCTGGCCTCGAACTCACAAATCCACCTGCCTCTGCCTCCCGAGTGCTGGAATTAAAGGCATGAGCCACCACCACCTGGCAGGTTTGTCTTTTTTGTACGTTTTCTTCTTCCCTGAATAGTTTTCACAATAGTAATCCAGTGGCTAAATGACCATGAATTTTATTATTTTTCAAGATATATTCTCCTGTATACTTAGAATCCAATTATGAGTTAACAACTTTAAAATAAAAGGGGTGGAAACTTGGGATAAAGAATTTAGTTTTAGGAGATAGTCTTCCTTAAGGAGCAGTAACACCACAACTAGCATTATCTAGTCAGACAGCAGGATTGTGAGCAGTGTGGAAGGAAGTATTGCTTGAGGCCCAGGAAGTTAATTTTCAATTGCCAGATTTGGTCCATTTTATCTTTTTCTTAATTACAGAACTATAATAATGTATGAACAAAATTTATAAAGTAGATCAATAAAAAAGCAGTAGCCTTTACTCTACTACCCGATGAAGGCTACTAACACTTCAGTGCTATTTACCTTGGCAGCTTCTGTTTCACTGTGAGAACCCTGTAAATTCAGCTTTGTGCCCTTTTTATTTAAAAATTTTTTTTGAAATAAGTGATCATAAAAAGTACCCAAATATTAAGCAGTTGAAATGAAGATCAGTAATACTAAGGTATGTAATTTTCTTTAAAGTAATGAGAAAAACTTGGTATGAACCTTTGAATTCTTGGTATAAATTTTTGTGTTTGTTTTTGGAACTCACTTGGAAAAACATGTTAATACAAACTTAAGAAACTAGAAGAAGCAATGTTTAAATAGTTTCTTATGAACTAATGCAAACATACTTCTTTACAATTTCTAGGATAAATTTGTTTTACTAATTTATGTGTAATATTTCATGTAGAAGATATTTTGTTTTTCATTTACAAGGATTATTCATGTTCGACATAGCTATGTATACACATCTTGTATAATTTGATGAATAGTAAGATTTTAGATGGTAAAAATATTGCATTTTAGAAGTGACTTGTTTTTTCCTTTTAAATTTTTTAAAAGAAACCCAAGTGTGGTGAGCAACGTGGTATTTGGACGCCAGCTTGTGTGTGTTCTGGCTTCCGTTCTGTGCTGTGATAAAATACTCTGACAAAAGCTCCTCGGGGAGGAAAGGGTTAGTTGGCTTACACCTGAAAGTCACAATCCATTATTGGGCAGAGCTCAGGTAAGAACTTAACACAAAGACCGTGGAAGAACCCTGCTTGCCGTCTCACTGTAGACTCATGCTTAGCCAGCCTTCTTACACAGCCCAGGAGCATTGCAGGGAATATGGACAGAGAGCCCCGTTAGACGCGTCCGCAGGCCCATCTGATGTGGGCCGCCCGCAACTGAGGCCCCCTCCTCAGGCGGCTCCTGGCAGGTGACAGTGGACGCTATCTGGGTCAACAGGAGAGTCCAGTCCTCCTTATCTTACTTTAGAAAAAAGCAAAGCGAAGGCACGTGCATTAATAATCATTAACTTGTCTTCTTTTTATAAATGTTATTTTGAAAACTAGCTGAGGAAGCTACAGGCTTTTTTGTTTTTTAAATTTAGGTCTTAGGAAATTAGCAGAATTTGTGATACTTGCTTTAAAAATAATGTTATTTTTAAGGACAGAATTTCTTTACACTATCTCCAGTTTTTGGTTATTAAAAAAATTCTGCCCTTGGGTATATAGTAAGGAAGGGTTAGGTAGATCCATGAGGAGATGATTGACAAACTGAACTTCATTAAAATAAAACTTCTACTTTGAAAGACACTGTTCAGAAAGTGAGCCAGGCAGTGGTGGCGTCTGCCTTTAATCCCAGCATGTGGGAGGCAGAGGCAGGCAGATCTCTGTGAGTTCGAGGCCAGCCTGGTGTACAGAGCAAATTCTAGGACAGTCAAGGCTACACGGAGAAACCCTGTTTCACTTTAAAAAGAAGAAGAAGAAGAAAGAGGAGGAGGAGGAAGAGGGAGAGAGAGGGAGGGAGAGAGAGGAAGTACACACAGGTGTTTTGGAATGCTTTCCCCAACCCGATGAAGGACCACAGTTAGAGCAATACTAAGAACTTTAAACGTCAGCACGGAGGAAGCAACCCAAGCTGGGTGTAGTCTTTAACCTGTAGTCCTGGGCTTGGGAATCTAAAGTAGGACGACCTCCAGTTCAAGTCCAGCCTGGCTACACAGCTGGGGGATGGGTTGGGGTTAAAAAGTCGAGGGGTGGAGAGAAAGCAATTAAAAGTGACTGGAGGTCTGAAGAGAGCTCAGTTAGAGAAGACTACTGTGTGTCAGATCAAACTGGGATTCCACTCTGCCCCCCAGAATAGTGGCAATGCAAAACCAGATTGGTGCAGAAGACGGTATCGCTACTCTGGAAGACACTTGGTGATTTCCTGTGAAGTTAGTTTAATCTGAGCATAGGCTATGGCAGTTGTGCTCCTAAACTTCTCGTCTCATAAAACAAACAACAACAAAAACAAAAAACAACCCCCCTGCACACACATGCCTGTTGTAGTGAGATAGTCCTTCTGTGGCACTGGCCACGCCCATTGGGGGGTGGAGCGGTGGGCGGAAGTGACCTGAGGAAGGAGGTCGGAGGGGGCCAGGAAGGCCTCTCTTTCTGGCGTGACTCGGACAGGAGAGGATCGGGTTGAATTTCCTGGTGTTCATCTGTCCAGGTTGTAAGTTATTTCTCCCTGAGTAAACATCTATTCGGCCTATTTGTTTATCCTGATCCTTATTTACCGCAATAGCCTGTAGCACTTTTACTCACAATCGCTTAAACTTAAAAACAAGGAGATGCTTTTTAGTAGTTGAATGGATAAGTGCACTGTGACACTGGAATATTCCACACACAGAATATTCCTGTCTGGTGGCATGCAGAAACAAGTGGGCTGGGGTGTAGGTTAGTGCTAGAGCACTTGCCCAACACGGGCAAGGCCTGGGTTGTGTCCTTGGGCTGCAAGGACACAACAACAGAATCCAAGGAAATACGCCATCAAACCCTGAGGAGCCATGAAAGAGCCCTGAGTGCGTGTTGCTAAGTGCAAGACGCCAGTCTGGGAAGGCTGTGCGTGCGGTGGGGTCCAAGGCTGCAGAGAGAGTGGGGTAAGGGACGGCGAGAGGAGCACCTGGCGGAGACTTCCGGGCAGAGACGCTGTCCTGTGTGATGGTGCGTGAGTGCACGCGGGACTCAGGAGTCCTAAAGTGAGCCATACTGTAACTACAGTGCTAATGCTGGTTCTTCAGTTACAGCAGATGTGCTGGGCCAGTGTAAGGCGTTTGTAAGGCAAGCAGGAGCAGGGACAGTAGAGGGTGTGCATGGCAGCATTCATTTCCTGCTCAGATTTTAAGAAATAAAGCGAGGCTTTAAAACTGTTAGAGCACCTGCCTGCCCCATGAAAAGTCCTGAGTTCTGTCCCTACCACACTACCAGCACACACTCACACACACTCACATGCACACACACTCACATGCACACACACTCACATGCACACACACACACACATACACACATTCACATGCACACACACACTCACGCACACACACATGCACGCACGCACACATGCACACACACTCACGCACACACACATGCTCACACACACTCACATGCACACACACTCACATGCACACACACACTCACATACACACACTCACACACACTCACATACACACACTCACATGCACACACACACTCATGCACACACTCACATACACACACTCACACACTCACACACAATACACCATTCACATGCACACACACATGCACACACACTCACACACACACACACACTCACACACACATACACACATTTACATGCACACACACTCATGCACACACACATGCACACACACACTCACGCACACACACATGCACACACACACTCACATGCACACACACTCATACACACACAGAAACACACACTCACACACGCACACTCACACACATATACACACAGAAATACACACACGCGCACACACATTCACACACACCACACACAGACACACACACACATACAGTGAATATTAATCTTAAATATATTTTTAAATATTGTGATAATCTACCAAATATCAGTGTTTTGTTACAGAAAAGTAATGAGTTTT